TTCAAGAAAACGAATTTTGTTAGAACGGGTATAAAAAATGATTACATTAAGATCAATTCTAAATACCCTACAAAAACAAACGCTAGTAATTAGCACATCAATAGACAGTAGGATCTTAATATTAGTAAGCAATTATACCGGTGGTACGAAAAATAAAAAAGAGCATTACCTCTTTCAAATGTATATGTATCGGTAATATCTTCCATATACAAATCTATGTCTGTTTCTTTCACGCTACAGATGCCGGGGAGGATAGGACAAAGGATTGTTTCAGAAAATATTGATTTAAATTCTTCTGTTTGAACACTTTCTTTAAATGTTTTGCAATCCTCGTCATTTTGGAATTCGAATTCAAATACGACACTTCCTAGATGAATTCCACTGCAATTGACCTTATAAGTCTTGGAAAGCTTTGTTAAGCATTTCAAGAATTTCAGTGCAATTTTACGAAATTTAACTTCGTCAGCTGTTGATTCAAATAATTTACATTTGATATTTTCCAGCAGTTTGCAAATTAAATCAGAATTTTCGATAGACATACAGTAATCATGAGTTTCATCCAATATTTCTGATACTTCCTCTATAGTCCATTAGTCATTCATGCCTTCAATTATAGCCTTGAATGCTTTATACGTGAATTCTAGAATGCCCTCTTTGTCAACATGTCTGTCGTGCTTTTTTCTCATGGAGAGTTTGATGAAAACCTTTCTTAACATTCCTACAAATAACATGTTTAAATTTTGCAAAAAACAAAATGTTCTTCTTATAGAACGTGTTTCTACCCAAAATTTTTGAAGGTAAATTCAGCAATTAATAATTTTCTGTCTGTATTTTGTCACAGGCACAACAAGTTTAACAAAGGAAACTTTTTAAAGATTGATTTTTAATCATGAAAAAATTATGAGAGGGACAGAATAGACGGAATAAATATGTGTCACTTTAAGATCAGTTTATTTGCTTGAAAATATCTCACCGCTCTTCTTGTCCTTTTTTATAAGAGAGGTTAAATTTTTGATCTGGTCATCTATTGCATCCATCTTTAGTTTGAGCTCGTTACCAAGATTTCTCTCATCTTCGTCCATTTTCCTCATTTTATCTAGATATGTCTCTTCCAACTCTTTATCAATAGCTTGGGTTTCAATTGAAGCAAGCTCACGTACATACGTGCATCCCGTATATTTTTCCAGTCTTCCACAAATATCTTCAATTCTGCTCCAGATTCTTCGGAATTCGTGGTCTGACATAGAAGCTGATGATGCATGCCCAGAAAGCTCATTCCCAATTTGTCTAATGCGTTCGATATCGTCCCCAACTGTCAAATCAGAAGGTCCTGGATTTTTGTTCCAACCATTTGTAGGTGGCGTGATGTTTGGGCATACATTTCTCAGTAAAGTATACAACAACGTGATATCAAATTCTTTATAGTCTGATATAACTGCTCTATTGATAATGTTGATCTGTTCTGGACGAAGAATTCTCATGACTTGATGAGCTTTAACTAACTTTTGAAGTTGGGATGGGGGAATTTCTTTAGACAAGACATCTCTGTAAATTTTTGTCAATTCATCAATGATAGCTATGTTTACTCTTGCAAAATTAACCACCGGTGAATGTGCTGCTGCCATATATGCCTGAAACTGGTTGGCTGTAGAGGATTTTTTTGTTTCTTTGAATGTTTATCCAGTGATGCTTACATGTCAAATTATGATTCTCTATAAAGTAATGAAGACATATTGTTTCACATCAAATTTTCTTCCGGTAGTTATCATTCATGTTTTTTTACGATTTGATATTTTGAATGTAGTTACTTTTATCATCACCTTATGTAATGTGTTACGTACAAACCAAAACATAACATAAACTTTGAGCATTCGTTCCAGTATTAAATTAGTTTTAAACAAGTATTTTTATGTAGTACATTATGAAAAAATAATTTATTTACCGAGAGGACATCTATATTGCAGATGCTAGATTGCTAGTTTCATACAAATGTATTTATATATTAAAAAATGATGAATTTTGCAACTTTGTCGCAGGAAATTCGAGCTGACTGTTTTCTCAGACAATTTGATTAAACAATTTTTTCATCGTTATGAAAAAAAAGGTTTAGTTTATCACCTTGACATTTCAAGCTATACTCGATACAGTAATGGAGATTAATTCCTTATGTATTATAAAAAGTCATTGCAATGCTTTGCAATTGTGCACAAAAAATAATTTTAAAGGTGAAATTGTAGACTGATTCTTTGAATACATATAAATAAAAAAGATAAGCAGTGAAAAAAAAACTTAATAACGCTTCCTCACAATCTATTGATTTTACGTATTTCTTTCCTTGTCACCAAAAAAATTTATTCAAGATATCAGACACAATTCAGTCCTGACAACAGGACAACAGGTAGAAAATATTCCTACGTGTACCCTTAAACACACACATATTGTTTTATTATGTATAATATTTTTTATTAAACTGAGACTTAAAAAATTATCTGCCAGTGGATAATAATCTTTATTAATTTCATTTTTAAGTTTGCTTTGATGGAGTGGGGGGATCAACACCCATATAATGTATGCAGATATGTCGCTGGTATGGGTCTGTTTTCAACAATACATACAAAAAATGTATGCTTATTTTGGTCACGCCTTTACGTATACTCTGATATATTATGCAGTTAACATAAATTTAGCGGATTGTGATCGATACAGGTTCGGTGACGCAATATCAGAATGTGTTGCATGTATACCTATTCAAATATCTTCACACATTATTAAGTGATCCCCGGGGGTCAAATAGAATGAAATTAAATGAACATCTCTTTTGTTTTTCTTATTATAAAGTTAAACTTACCTGAACATCGTCTAAGGTAACTTCATAAGGAACTGTGAGTGCATTTGTCCCATGATTTCTTGCTCTTTAAATTAGAAGAACGTAGTACAAGGGATCATGGGACAAGATTATGTAGTTTCATTATATGCAGACGTACATCGTCTCAAGCCACGGTTCGGAGTCCGCATATACGAGAGTGGATCCAAAGGTAATGTTATAACTTCTATAAAATCTCTAATAATGAAATGTTATCAATAACGTTTCACAAATTAAGGATGGATTCTTCTCATATTTCTTATAATGGCAGAATCTTGATTTTCTGAATACTCAATATTCAGACTGTTTACACTTTTTTAACATCCAAAAACTTTGGTGTCATCGGCCTTGATTTTAAGTCAAGGTCATTTGAAAGTTAGTCCTAAAAATAGTACTTTTACACAGAGAAGTTTTGAAATGTATGCATATGAATAAATTTTGCTGACTGAAAAAATATCTTTCACCATAAAATTAAAGTTGTTACTTATTTTTGATGACTAATTCATATGAAATGAGCTGGTGAAAAGATAACATGAAATCCTTTATATTCAATAAATACATTTCATCCGAATTTCCTCGATATTTTTTCAAAATTCTCAGTTTTCATGAATTCACATGAAATTTCATCTCAATTTTTACAATTGACCATATAATGTCAAATATTTAGATTTTTGTCTGATGAATATTCAAAGGTTCAAGATTAATTTACAAGGTAAAAAAGATATAGTAATCAGGCAAATTATTGAAAAAAATTAGCCCGAATTTGCTCTATACTTTCTGAAATCTTCAATTTACAGAGTATTTTAAATGTCTATAAGAAAGATTTTTAATCCCCAAAAATATATCAATTTGGTGTAATTGTGACATAAATACATTCATTTCTACTAGTTATACATTCTATTTTTATGGTATTTTACACTAATGATATTCAAAATATTCATTTCGAATTTCCTCTGTCATTTTATTCTTATGAATGTTATGTTTGACAATTTTATAAAAAAAACATCAATTTTCTAGTGGCAATTACAGAAAAATTATCACATACATTCTTCACATGCACAGGACTAATTCAAAGCAACTTAACCTTCAATATAACTAGGAATAAATAATAAACCTTCCAAAAAGTTATGAGAAAAATCATACATAAAATTTTCATAGACTAGAAAAGATTTCAATACATTATTTATGACATAAACATGAAATCAATATACATGTATAGTGAACATGCCATTCAATGCTTAGTATATGAATATCACAGGGACTAATATATATGCCTATACATATACATGTATATGTAGTTATATACATATAGGTCCCTATTATGTTATTATTGGATATTTTACATTTGTAAACTGAGTTTTGAAAACAACAAGCAAATTCAAAGAATGGTGGTCCCCCGCTTTCGATGTCTTAGTGGATGGGATGCCATTATTTATGGCATATTGTAACTGTCTTGTTTGTTTGTCCTGTCTTATCTGTGCATCATACAAAAAGACATAAATAATGCACTTGTCAAATATGAACACCATATCATATGTCATTCAAAAGTAGTCACCAAATACAAAATTTTTGAAATTTAGGTCAAACATGAAGGGTCGCCCGCGTGGCGCAGTGGTTAGAGCGTCTGCTCTAGAGTCGCGAAGTAAGGAGTTGATCCTTACGTCGCGGGTTCAAATCCCACTGTGGGACGTGGAGACCGGCCCTTCGGATGAGACCGTATAAACCGAGGTCCCATGTCGCAGTAGGTGCTGGCACGAAAAAGATCCCTCACTGCTCAATAGCCGTAAGTGCCGAGCATAGGACAAAATTTGCAGCTCTCCACCGGCAAGTGGTGGCGTCTCCATATGAGTGAAAAATTCTCGAGAGGGACGTTAAACAACATACAAACAAACAAACAAACATGAAGTTCAAGGTAAAGGGGTAAAAAATTATAGCAAGCTCGGAAACACTTTGTCACTACTAATGCACATGTCAACTGTGAAAGCCCTAACCATTCTAAATCAAAAGTTATTAGCAAAGACAAAAATTTTGAAAAGTAGGTCAAACTTCAAGGTAATGGTCATGGGGTCAAAAATCATAGTACATTTGGAAAGGTATTCTTACAAGTAATGTTCATATTTAATATGAGAGCCCTATCTTTTCTCATTTAAATTTAATGACCAATTTAAAGAAATGTTAATTTTTTGAAAAGTAGGTCAAACTTCAAGATCAAGGTCACGGGGTCAAAAGTCATAGTATAATTTCAAAAGTCTTGTCATAGGTAATGAACAGGCATAATATGAAAGTCCTATCTTTTCTCATTCAAAAGTAATGACAAATTTAAGGTAATGTTAATTTTTTTGAAAAGTAGGTCAGACTTCAAGGCCACGGGATCAAAATTCACAGAATATTTGGAAAGGTCTTGTTACAGGTAATATACATGTGAAATACAAAAGCCCAATCTCTTCTCACTCAAAAGTTATGGCCAAGGTTAAAGTTTTTGTGACAGACAGACCGACAAAGAATGAGATTTAATGTCCCCTCTCTTTCGCGAAAGCGAGGGACAATAAATACCTACACACATTTATAAGTATATAGTTTGTTCAGCACCAATAAATATAACTCCTCAATGTGATCATATATTGCGTAAAATTTGCTGGAGTTTTAAGATAACAAAAAAGCCATCTATGACAATCAAATGCCCTTTGACATCTTTGCCTGAATATGACATCCTTGAACTTTGTAACAATAATATGCATGCAGCTATCAAACTTAATTTCACATTTAGATGCAAAATACTTATTCAAGGATGAAATTTCTTTTTGAGAATTTGTAGCACAAACATTTATTGATCAGTGTCAATAACTTGTATTGAAATTGAATTAAAAATTACCTCTTGAGGGTTTCTACTGCAAGTACATGTATATTAGTTCATTTGTAAAAATCTAAATTTTAACCCGGCCACTACCACCAATTTTGTTCGGCATGCTCTTGCTTAAAATCACCCTTTAACTAAATGATCTAAAGCAGGCACATTTTTTGGTATTCCAGAACTGTATTTTAAGATTTTAACTGTATTTGAAAATGTAAAGCAACTGAATACATAGAGCTAGGTATATATCATTTACAAGTTGTTGTAATGCCAGTACATGTAAATCTTCACATTGTAATCTAATGAAAGATAATGCTTGAAAAATTCGCTCTGAGAGTAAGATTTCAAATCTGAATCAAAGATTTTGTAAAGTAATCACATTCTACAAAGCATGCACTGTATCGGGTACTTGGGAATCAAATAATTAAACATTATATAATTATAAATAAAACTATTTTTGAATGAAAGTTTCTAAAAAAAAAAATCAAGAATGGAATCATGCAACAAGCAGCAGTGACTTTGATAACATGCATTGACTTCCACATTTCTACAAAAACATTTCTTTGATCAGATAAATAATGTAATTCCTGCTTCTGACATGATATATTCTGAGAAAATCTCTTTTCCACAGACAGCCATCATTCATTTGATGTGAGAATTTCTTGCTGAACATGTGTCCACCTGGTGAAAGTCCAAATTTTTTGTTGACCTATAATTTAAAAAACGTAATATATTTTACATAGCAGCACAGATGCTGCATTATATGATAGTTAGATAAAGTTGTGTCCATATTTCTTATACATGTACCTCAATAGTCCATCTGCCAGCACTCCTTGCTCAATCATCCTGCATTCTGACCTCCAGTCTTTTTTCTAGTCTAGGGTAAAGTAGGGTTGTTTTTCTCCTAAGAATTAAACATGAACATCCCTTAGACTATTTTTTTAAATTCATGGAAATTGATTATAAGATTAAATAACTTATCTCATCTGTATTTCATTTATTGCTTTAAATGAATGAAAATATTTTAATAGATTCTACCACATGCATAATGTCTTATATTATAGTGTATTGGATATAAATAAATAGACATTTTTTATCCTAAGAGTACAGAAAAGTAAAAAAAAAAAATATATAAATAGTTTTTTAACAATAATGTTTCATTTTGCTCTATTTATTAGACAATTGTGTGTTTCAATATTATGGATATTTCCACGTACAATATCAAGTTATTTTTCCGTTTGATTTGTACCCAAGCGGAACACCTTACTTTTCTAATAACTTGGTGATTGTTCGGTCTTGAACAAAGTAGGCTAGTTAAAAATATAAAATTTGTTGTAATCATATACAAAAAATGCTATTTTTGTGAATTATTATTCATAAACCTGACGAACACACGAAATATATCCTCTTCAAATGTTGACAAGTCGCGGGAATAAGCAGACGAAATATTGATAACAGGACTTTAATTTCCGTGCGAATTCCCATAAATCAATACAAACCAGCATGTAATTGAATTCAATTTCAAAATTATAAAAATCTTCAGACATATATAACTAACTTACATGCTCACTGCACACGACATGACATCAGACGAGGCAACGTGGATCTGCAATCTTGCACATGTTTGTGACCTTCAAGTTCAAGCTTCCCTTTTGGCTGATCGGAATTTCCCGGGCATAAACAACTATGATTTAATTTGTCATAACTGTCCCTGGGCTTCTACAATGCTTCGATAATGTTCACAGTTTGTAGATTTTACAAAACAACCCTCTCGGGGTTTTCTACGGAAAATGATCTGGACATGTTGACATTCGCTACCGAACTGCGAATATTATGGCGATTGTCGCAAATCAAAGAAAATATTACGAAAAATTTATTAATTTCAAAAGAAATTGATTCAACATTACTTAAACTGCCAAATTTACTAATAGTTTTTCCTTCAGTATAATTAAATATGAATTTTGCATTTTACGACTTGCATAATTTATGGAGACCCATTGACGACGTAAAATGCTGACAAGAATCCATCCTTAATACCTAAATCCATTCTGATTCTTTGTTCAAAATCCCGCATGAAGTAGATGTACGTCTCCACCCCCTTTCTGTAAAAACTTGAAAAATAACAATTTCATCAATTGAAGTTTATTGTGAAACCTGTTATACTATGTTATGAAAATTGTACTTCAGATGCTCTTATTTCATTTCCGTCAAGGATAAAAGCAGCGAATATGCACATTTTACTGATAAATTGATTTAGGGGTGGGGGGGTGGGGGGTAAAAATTCACAGGTACTGGGTCTTGGTTTATAAATATGTATGAACCTTATTGATATGTAAAAACTGTACTTTACTTTTTTACATATCAATAAGGTACATGCATATTTATAAACCAAGACCCAAGTACCTGTGTAAAAATTAGCTTTTAACGCTCTATGAATAGGCCGAGCATTTGATATACAAAAGACTGTTTTAAGAAAAAAACCGACACGTATTGATTAAAGCACAAAACTTTACAGCTTTAATTGTATTTGAACGGTGTGTTCCCCGAACGTCTACTGGACTAAACCAACATCTTATTATCACACTCAATTAAGGGGCCCTGTAAGGGGTACATTAAGGATCTACAATCATTTATGAACTAAATTGAAGGAGGAATTCTACAGCAACAATAATGTTTGACATCTCTTCTGAAACATGGTTTCAGCATGGAAATATTGATAAAAGATATTTATTGTTTTAACATGATTTTTTTTCAGGGGAAATGTAAAACTCTTGAAGATTTTATGCATTAGTTTAAAAAATGCTAAAAATAATGTGTTTTATTTTCATAAATAATTTTTTAGCAAAAAAAAAAAGAAGCTTATCTGATTTTTCTTGACATTTTCTATTAAATATTTATATTTTCCATTTATTTAGGGCAAACTTTAAACCCTAAAGGATCTTATTTGCAATTAAAAAATTCTTTTCATTTTCTCCTAAAAAGCCCCCAAAATTCATAAAAATTAATTTAAATTAATATCAATCTTTCCATACTTAAGCCATATTTCAGAGGAGATGTCTTAAAGATCGGTTAAATAAAATTTCCGTGAACATGTAAGTAGCATTCTTTCTTAAACAGGAAAAATCTATCGATCATATGTCATTTTTAAATAAATTTTGCTTTAGATACTTTTGATTTAATTTAGTTTTAATCATCATTTCAAAGCATTGATTTTAAATATTATAACAATAAATAATTTCAAAATCTTTGGAAGTTTTTATCATAAAACTCAATCACAATATACATGTAATTGTTTTGGTAAAAAATCTGACAAGAGTAAGATACGGTTATATTTGAAAAAAAAGTATTTTACCAATAAATCTGTGCTTTAGTACACAGTTTTATCAGTAAATATTAAATTATTTGATTTTGACTACTTGGTTCAATCAAGGTAACAGATGTAAACTCTACCTGGACCCCTTACAGGGCCTCTTAATTGAGTGTGATAATTTAATAGTTGTTTTAGCAAGTAGACGTTCGGGGAATAAACCATTTGAACAATACCTTATTCATTAATTTTCATGTTAGGCCAAAATAAAAGAAATACCTTTCTTTACCCTAACGCGACCGACCCAATTAAAACGCACCGACTGGAAAGTTTTGTTTTCATAATATTATTCCAATATTTATTTTATATATATATATATATATATATATATATATATATATATATATATATATATATATATATATATATATATATATATATATATATATATATATATATATATATATATATATAGATAGATAGATAGATAGATAGATAGATAGATAGATAGATAGATAGATAGATAGATATAGATATATATATATATATTTCTGACAATTACTGGGACATCAACATTTATTTGAACATTTGTCTGGTGAAGGGCTTCAAATTTAGACTTGTACGCGGCACTTTAGGCCATTGAGCAGTAAAGAATCTTTTTCATGCTAGTATCTAATTGCGACACTGGACCTAAGTTTTTATGGTCTCATTCGAAAAACCGGTCTCAACGTCCCGCATTGGGATTTGAACCTGCAACTTAGAAATAGCTCCTTACTTTGAGGCTCCAAAATGAAATGCTCTAGAAACACTGCACTATTCGAAGCCCTTAAAAAAGTACATTGCATATGTCAGCACTGGAAGCTCAAAGTAGACTTGTATGAAAAACAAATACTCTGATGTCAAGTCTTTGTGTTCTGGAGATTCATTTAACAGATGTACAATGTATTCAATTTCAACAAATTTACTCTGGTATCAGATATAAGATATTTTACAAGTTCGATTAAATAATAGTTGTGAATTAATTTACCTTAAATGTTGAGTCTAAACGGCATTTGTATGGTATTCTACCTGTTTACAAATCGCTTTTGTTTGTACTTAACTTATTTATAAAGGTATCATTTCATTTAATTTTAGGAATGTATTTTCCAAGCTGCTATCAAAAAATTATTTGCCAACCTACCTACCAACCCAACTTGAGATTTTTGGGTCGGGTTAGGGGAAACATATATTTTTAATGATGGCCGTAGCAAGTTTTTATGAAGTACAAATTGAACTTCGGTTTCGTTGCTCTCAGTAAGGAATATATTCAAATTTTACCGATAAATATATTAGGAAAATCTACTACATATATGTTATACTCTTTCGATATATAAATATATTCACAACTGATAGGTCGCCCGCGTGGCGCAGTGGTTAGAGCGTCTGCTCTAGAGTCGCGGAGTAAGGAATTGATCCTTACGTCGCGGGTTCGAATCCCACTGTGGGACGTGGAGACCGGTCCTTCGGATAAGACTGTGTAAACCGAGGTCCCGTGTCGCAGTAGGTGCTGACACGAAAAAGATCCCTCACTGCTCAATGGCCGTAAGTGCCGAGTATAGGACAAAATTTGCAGCTCTCCACCGGCAAATGGTGGCGTCTCCATATGAGTGAAAAATTCTCGAGAGGGACGTTAAACAACATACAAACAAACAAACAAACACAACTGATAGTGTCATCAATGATTTACCATTATTTCAATGACCATTCACACAAAAGCTTTTTTTATGCATTGTTCATGCAGCTATAATCGCTTCGTTTTTTCTTTTAACATCGGACTCGATGCTATATGATTTTCTAGAAGCTTACGTCAATATTAAGATCGGTGAATGACGAAAATAATTTGCACATTTCCCTTTTTAATCGCAGGAGAATAAAACGTACGCTCAACTAGGACCTCGGGTCACCCGCAAATAGTTCGTCATTTTGCGTAGTGATAAAATATCATATGAACTCTTCAGGCATTAAAGGCACAAAAGTAAATTCATCTATATCAGTACAGTGACCGCAGGTCACCTTATATTTTAATTGAATTTTATTAGACATAGTTTTAAAAAAAATTACTCAAATACAATCATATTAATAACTTTACATCTATATATTTTCTCATAGAATAACACAGACTTGAAAGTAATGTTTTTAACGTTTAAACACACAACGTCAAGTTGTTAATAGGTCAGGTCCATAAGAAGCTGTGAGGATCAGGTCCCACCTCAATAATTTCCAGTAAATTCTCTACGATAGAAAACAAAGAAGATTCTTTTCTTGTGCTCCTTCAATAATTTTTCAAGTATCCTAGCCTTGTGTTTCACAAAATTGCAGATCTGATTCATAAATAAATTTTGATTAATTAACAAATTTTCCCTTAATTTTAGATAAGGATTTAAATGTTAATAAGGTTAATCTCTTCACAAATGTTTAACTGCTTAACTTTTTTCAAACAATATTATTATCGGCCGCTGGAGCAGCTGACTATTTGAAGTTTAGTTAGAAAGTACACATGGGGAAATGAGTCCTTTTTTTTAAATTCTATTTATTCGTTTAGTATCATCATCAGTCATGATTTAAGAAACTGGACTTAGGTAAACTAAAAGACTTTTCAAAAACAAACTAAAGGCAACAAGTATGAAAATAAGCATCTGAACATTTAATCATGTGAAGAAAAAAATACAAGAACAGTATTTAATTTAAAAGTCCATTAAAAAATACAGATTTGGAGCAGAGCACCAAAGGACCTCCTAAAATCATCAGAGGCGGGGCCAGGCGCCAAGGAGGAGGTTTGCTTGACCGCTGGTCTCCCTTATGATGTACAATATAAGGTGACCTCCAGTCTCCGTATTCATATATAACTTTATTTGACCCCTGATTTCCCTTATGATGTACAATAAAAGGTGACCTCTAGTCTCCGTATTCATACACAGCTTTATGTGATCTCTGGTCCCCCTAATAATGTACAATATTAGGTGACCTCTGGTCTCCTTAATGATGAACAATATAAGGTGACCTCTGGTCTTCTTAATGATGTACAATATAAGGTGACCTCTGGTCTCCTTAATGATGTACAATATTATGTGACCTCTGGTCTCCTTAATAATATACAATATAAGGTGACCTCTGGTCTCCGTATTCATATACAACTTTATATGATCTTTGATCTCCCTAATATAAGGTAATTTCTAGTCTTTATATTTATATACAACCTTTGGTTTTACACAGCTTTTTTTTTTTACATCATAAGGACACCAGGAGTCACATAAGGTTGAATATAAAAACAGATACCAGAGGTTACTCAATATTATTCCATATTGTACATCATAAGAGAGCACATGGATCTCTTAAAGATATATATATATGAATGCAGAGACAAGAGGTTTTCTTATATTGTTCGTCATTAGGGAGATCAGAGGTCACACGAAGTTGAATATTAATACGGAAACTAGAGTTCACTTTAAATTGTACATCTTTACTGATACTAGAGTTCACATTAAGTTGTATACGGAGACCAGAGGTCACCTTATATCGCACATTATTAGGGGGAGAAGATGTCAGCTTATATTGTTCATCAATAAGGAGACCAGAGATCACCTTAAATTGTACCTCATTAGGGAGACCAGAGGTCACCTTATATTGTACATTATTAAGGGGGGCCAGAGGACACCTTATATTGCACATTATTAAGGGGACCAGAGGTTACCTTATACTGTACATCATTACGGAGACCAGAGATAGCCTTATATTGTACATTATTAAGGGAACAAGAGGTCACCTTATATTGTATATCAATAGGGAGACCAGAGGTCAACTTATATTGTACATCATTAGGGAGACATGAGGTCACTTTTTATTGTTCATCATTAGGGGGACCAGAGGTCATCTTATATTGTACATCATTAGGGAGACCAGAGGTCACCTAAAATTGTACATCATTAAGGGGACCAGAGGTCACTTTATATTGCACATTATTAAAGGGGACCAGAAGACACCTTATATTGAGACAATAGGTTAAAAAGTATGGTATATGAAGAACTATTACCTAAACTCAGACTCTGATTTTAATGACAAGCAAAAACAAAGAGGTACACAATTTCTCCATATTCACTTTTTTTTCCCTCGGAATGGGGTGTGTGTGTTTGGACAATTTGCTTGTCTTCATATACGTGTATGTGATTCTTAGAAGCAATTCTCACGGAGTCCGTGTTTTCTAGGTCTATTCTTGGTAAGTCGCTTATTGGTTAGTTTTGTTTCCTCATTTACAGATCAGCGGGGGTGGTGATTGGAGTTCAGCATCTCCCTTTCATACATTTTTCACTTATCAAGTACAAGGGGAATACCTGTTCTGTTATATTAATAAGGAGACCAGAGGTATATTGATAAGGTCGCCTATTGTGGTATGATATATCATTTGGGAGACCAGGAGTCACCTAACGTTATTTATTACCAAATCATCAACCATTATCTTGAAGTATCTGTGAAAAGTCCAAGGGGGCATGATCACCCCCTCCCGTTTTCCCGCTAGATCTGCGCGCGCAGAGACAAAACGTCACCTACTCTGATATAAGGAGACCAGAGGTTAGCTAGTGTGTTACTTTGATACGGTCGCTTAACGTTTTTCATCATTAGGGAGACCACGGGTCACCTAACGTAATTCATTATCATATAACTTGTATCATATTTCTTAAAATAGAATAGTCAATGTTGCTTGCTTTCTTCCATTGTAAATTTCCTAACATAAGATTATTATTCTTTAAAGAAATGCATTTTCTGTTTGTTGTATTACATTTGTAAAGGCTTTCCAGTAGAAGAATTTATTCTACTTTCACTTTGCAGTTTCAATGCACTATATTTTGTAGTGGATTGATTGATTGCTTGTATGTTGTTTTACGTCCCATTCGAGAATTTTTCACTCATATAGAGACGTCACCATATACCGGTGAAGGGCTTCAAATTTTGACCTTTACTCGGCACTCAGGGCCATTGAGCAGTGAGGGATCTTTTTCGTGCCAACGCCTGCAGTGACACAGGACCTTGGTTTTTAAGGTCTCATCCGAAGGACCCGCAACTTTCACTTCAAAGTGCCGAGCGCATGGCGAAGGAACAGTTGCTACCCATTTTTTATCGACTTAGGTCAGTCGCGGCCGAGATTCGAACTCACGACCTCCCGATCACGGAGCGAGCGCTCTACCGACTGAGCTACCGTGAACGGTTTTTGTAGTGGAGAAAACAGGTTTAATAATTGTGAATGAGCAGGTGACCTTAGGTCTTAGTTGAGCGTACGTTTTATTCTCCTGTTTTTTAATCGGTTATCACAACGTATTTCTTTTATATCATTTAAATCAATTTTAAATCAAGTTTGATTGTATAATTCAGTGATGACGTTTAATGAAATAAATAAACGATTCCGTGTTGTCAGTTTCATTAAAAATTGCAAGTAATTTAGATCCGTCAACCGGAAACGCCATCGTACTCACGTTTTTGCTATTTCACTGCTGTTTATAGAAAAATTAAGAAAATGACAAGCTTGATATGTTTTATCTTAATTATTTTTTATGATCATTTACTTGTTAAAACAAATTAAAATGAAAAACATGAAAAATGATCAATGTTTATGTTTTATTAATGGTCTTCTGAACAAGGTTAAAATGTTAACAACTGTCCACAACTGATTAATAGACCCTGCAATAGATAATGGCACTACCGATTGCAAAGGCTTCTACTCTTTAACACGCTTAATATGTCTCTCCACATGTATCCTTAAAGATGCAATTTTCTGGTTTTCTTGAATTTCAGATGAAGTAAATTGTCCATCTGAACAAAAAAATGGGGTGTACTTATTTGAATGCCTCTATCTTGTAGTATTTTGTTCAATACAAAACCTTTGTCGGCTATTACTTTATTACCACATTCTAAAAGATGTAAGTCCACAGGATTTAGTGATTTCAACATCAGACATACAGCCTGTATATAAAGACGAAATGAATGTAACTGCACCATGGGGGGCTATTACAACAAGGCCCTTCCAGGTGTTGTGACTTTTATAACTTGAAAAAGTTTTTGAAGCCAAAGCAAGAGATGATGGCTTTTCAGTAAAAACCTCCATACAATCTATTATAATTCGAGTTCTTGGATAGAGGACTTGAAAATCTTGTGGCATATTCTGCACAATTTGCTCTCGGGTGGGCCATATGTTTATACTTCCTAAAATGAAATGTAAGTAATTTGTCCATGTTAAGATTTTTCTGATCACAGTAGATTTGTGAATATTGAATCTGACAGAAAGGTCCTTGGTTAAAAAGCCACATCTAATGCGACATAGAAACACAAATTGTTCATCTACAAGAACCATGGATTTTGGTCTTCCTCTCAAACTAACATCATCAGATGTATTGTAATACACAGTTTTCATTTTTTGAGCAGTAGGTTTAATTGCATTGTAAAATGCTATGTAAACAGAGTATGTAGGAAAACCAGTGTAAAATTCAATCATATCATCATCATTAGAAAATCTGTTGACCCCAATTTTTTTTCCATTAAAAGCATTTCATTCAGTGTAGGAATTTTATTATTATTCTTCTGTATTATTTCCTGAAGTTCTTCTACTTTAAACTTGCATCCCGCATGGTTGTCCATTCTGAAAAATAAAATACACTCTCAATACATAATTTTAAAACTATCCAAAGAAAACTAAATACCAAACAAAACAGTTCATAAAATATTTTGGCAGTGCTACCAGCATACCTTGGCCTTACCATGGCATTGAGCCCAAGGAAGTGTGGTTACACCAAAATTTGTTCAAAAAATTGTTCAATGTATTAATTGAATTTCATTTTACTTAATGTATTTTCATGTACAAAGTAGGCCAGGTCTGTTAACTATTATTCAGAACTATCTAGTACATTTGCATGGGTAATTTAATTACATAAAATGGAGATCAATTATTTTATATAAAAGAACCTACACATTGCCATCATGATCATTGTCAAAATGTTAACTATGGGTATCTGTGGAGTCTATCTCATGATTCTCTGGTTCTGTTCTCTCAAGCTGGTCAACAAGATTACTTGGAAGTTCTCTTAGAATTTTCCTACTTGGAGGTAAGTGGTGACGTTCTCTGGGAGGTTTTCTGGGAGGTGCATTCTGGATCCACGGAAATACAGATGGGACGGCATCAGTTTTTAGACACTTCTTACTGAAGTGGATCTAAAGTTCGATTCATAAAAAAATGCCGCAAACAAACGACAGTGTTATTTCCTATCTGAAAAATAAATTGCAATTTTATAGCTAATTAAAAAAAAATCTTAACATGATGTCAGAAAATGTTCAGATGTTACCCACAGGTCACGTAATGAATATCGAGGAAATTGAAATACATTGATGTGCGTCCATAATCTGAAATTAAGTATTAGATATGCAGTACTAGTATCTAATCTGCACATTAACTGCCAAGGATGCATTGTTCCTGAAAATTATGAAGACATACAATTTTAATCGATCTCTTATTAAGGATGTTAAGTATGTGTCCGTACGTCAGTATAATTTTGCCTACCTTCAACCTGGGTCCTTCGTCGCGTCGTATAGCAACGAGCCATTTCTTCCGCATCTCTAGCTTCTTAGGAATATGATGAAAACTGAGATCATGTTGAATTCTAGCATTCCCATTATAAAAAGCACGCAACAATATTCGTCTCGTTTAGAAATTGTTAATTCACATGTTAGAGCGTTTTCTTTTGACTCCATGCTGATGCCGACACTATCTTAGCCTCGTTTTCAATAGCTTGACCTCAGGTCAATGAATATATGAATAATTTTTGAGAACAGTCTATAGCACAACTTTATTTCGTGGCCACAAATTTTATTTCGTTGTCACGAATATTTTTCGTGACCACGAATTAATAACAAGAGGCCCAAGGGCCTTAACGGTCACCTGAGTATAACACAACAATTAGTTTAGAGGATCCATTGAGTATAAAATGTACTGAAAAGTGCAGCTTTGTTGCCGAAATGCAAGAAAAATAGGGTGATCTGAATCAGCAAAATAATTAGTCTAGTATTCATTAACAGTTCATAAATTAGGTTCTAATCTGTTCCCCATTTATCACTATCACCATACAGTATATTGTAGCGTGAAACCTTATAATGTAATCATAAATAGCAGAGGCGGCTGAATTCCCCCAGTTAACTTTCTGAGGACCTGGCAGGTTCAAAATATACAAATATATGATAAAGCAATATATGTAGATAAATGTTGAGACTACCTGTCTTTAATCAATTATATGCAATAAATTAGAGTTATGCTGGCTCTTGAGCGATCGGTTCTTACAGCTCGGCTCTTATGGTTACCGGCTCTTACAGCTTGGCTCTTTGAATACCGGCTCCTACAGCTCTTTTCTTTAATACTGGCTCTTACAGCGCAGTTCCTACAGTTCGGCTCTTTACAGCTCTTGCTGACTCCCACAGTCACTTTCTTAACAACAAACAATATCTAAAGCCAGGAAAGACTTGTTCAGTCACGTCTAAAGCTTTAAATATTTATTTATTATCATTAACTAAAAGTTACCTCTGATCATTAATGGTCCGCCGCTTGTGTTGCCACTTCAGCATCAACTTAGCAATTAACACAACTCTGCCGCTTCACTTTTCTTTATACCCTATGTGACCAACTACGCCATCTAGCGGAAACATGACTAAAATACCGTTTGTACCGGAAAAACTTTTCCCGGATTGTTTCAATATTAACAAACTATCAGTGCTTCTGTACTATTTCTAATTCCTTATTGAAATCTTTTACATTGGCCTTTCTTGGTGTTTGATGAACATTTAATAAGACAAGTTATTTTGGTCTCATTTTTATTTATCTATTACTTACAAGTCTACCTGATCATTAAAACTATGAAAGTACTTTTTGTATTATACAATTAAAATTCTTGCATAATTCTCTTATTCTATTAACCTGTCAAGTACATTTTTTACAGTGATTAATTATCAAAAGTAAATGACAAAGGGGAATTACTTCTGTCAGTTGAATACAAATTAATAGAGACCTGGCTAGGACCAGAACACTTGACCAAATTCCAGATGTTCAAAAATTTGGTAAAATACCCTTCCTTATTTAAACTTTTACTCTTTTTGCCTCTGATATGCCCAGGTGCAGAGAATATTTTTAAAGAAATAATGCATTTTTACTACAGATTCACTACATTTTTCACTATTTTATCAATATAGCCCTCCCCCCAAGGAGAAACACCAGAGCCTTTGACCCTCGAACCAGAAGTTTGCTCATCATAAGTAATCACTGTTATCAATCTCACCACACCAGTCGTTAACTTTACAGTATGGTACTGCTCAAACTCTTATTCATTTAGCCTTTACAATGGAAAATAGTACCTCATGTTGCACGCATAAAAATATCTATAGTTTAGATACACTGATTTGTGGTATGTTGAAAATGGCAGCAAGATTAGGTCCTGTGTCTAATTTACTTTTTCTAGCATTATATTACTATAGAACAGGGAGATATGATAAAACACTATATATCACTTATCTCACTAAACATAGACTTTCACAGACTTTTATTTTGTATCCATATACTGATGGGCAAAGGTACAGCTGTAGGTATTATGTCTTTGTCTAGAAAAATGAGAGTAGCCTGGACGAATAATATGAATTTAATTTGTAATATACCCTGTATTGGAAAATTGTGTTTAGAACAAAATGTGAATCAACAAAAAGGAAGGCCATTATTACATTTATCACCCTTTGTTATGGTAGAAATGTTGTCAGTATTATCTCATTATAGACTAGGTAAAAGATCTCAGTGTTTACAGTCACTGACAGACCTACGGACACTGTTGCTGTATGATGATGGGAGCTATGTTAAGAGTCTTAAGAAGAATCGCTCAGACAGGAACCATACAACAAAATAAAAGAAGCTACAGATTTTAGAATAAGATGTGTTAAACAACAAATACAGAGAAATGAACAGATGTAATTAAATGTTTCATAATGTTTCTATGGTAATTTAAAGAGTTGTAGACCAGACTGCAGCACTTATTTGGCAAAATCTATGAAGCACAGATGAACCTTTTTAAAGAATTTTTTTTTTTTACCTTCTATATAACTTTTACTTTAAATCTTGCACTTTCTTTTGCGAAGTTGACCATTTTAAGGGAAAATTAATTAATTTTGAGAACTATTGTTCTGTTGAAGGACCTCAAAATATATATTGTTAAAAAAAAAGTAATTTTGTGCTTTTCGTCTTTGAGGTCAATATAATAAAACTCATGTAATATATTGTTAGCACATGAATATTGTATGTACTAGTATATTGACATCATTATGTGAAATATATGAAATATGGAGAATGTCTTGTTAATTTTATCTGCTAAATGATAACTGTGTTACACTCCTTTTCATTTTAAAATAGTTATACGCTACTACATTAAAGTAGACTGGTAATCATGATATATATGTATGTTTATATTCTGAGAATAAGTTTTAGGTATACGTCTTCGCAAAGCTAGAAAACTTCAAAAGTATTATGTACCGACATAACTAAATAATTTCACTTTTATTTCTTGTGAAAACCTTCCGTTAACTGGACTAGTTAGAATCCGTTTTTCAAAGCCATCTGGATGAAAGATTTCTTAGGCAATGGACTCAATGAAACATGAAACATTCAATAATACAGTCTTTTACCTACTTAATCCAACATTATATGATTTGTTATACATATATTTATAATATTAACTAACGAATATCTTTCTTTGATTGTTTATGTGAAATTACATGTAATGGCTGTATAACCACTGCAGACGAATTTATTACACAATCCGTTTATGCGGGTTGTTTTTTCTGCAACAGTTCACGGGTTGCAACAATTACTTCTCGTTAACTTTTGATAGTGTGGATCATGTTCTTAGCACACAGCGAGCAGAAAGGTCCGTCGTCCGTCCACCTGTCTATTTTTCTATAAACAATATTTTTTTAATGCTACTCCTCCTACGTTTTGTTCCGATTTCAATAACTCTTGTTATACACAAGTAGAATGCACAAAGATACAAAATTCAATATATCAGATTTCATATTGGTTAAAAATGTTGCCATGCTTACCAAACATAGCATTTTTGTAAAATTCTTTTAAAAGCCTACCCCAGCTTCATTTTGGTTTCATTTTATAAACCTTTTTACCAAAGACCATATTAAGATAATAAATACATTTGTCCGTTTTAATTTCGATTAACAGTGATGTCATGGCTTATACAATTGTAAATAGAAAAATTTTCAAAAACTATTTGAGTAGAATTTTGGTCTGATGGAAAAAAAATCCTTGACAAAAGTAGTTTTTACTGCGAAACGTGTCTCTGTTCATTTTCTTTTATATTTTTATGAATGGCTTTTCCATGGAAACTATAAATAGAAATTTTCTGTTTTTAGTCAAATTGCTATAAAATTAGGCTCATACAGAAACTTAATCAGGGATCATTAGTTGTCCTAGTTTCAAGTCCAAGTGCTTTATTATAAGTACAAACCAGAAGTTGTTAAATTCGTTATTGAATTTGGGGGTTGCCTTTCTCAAAAATAAAGCCTTTATTCTAAATAATTTGTTTTCCTTTCAGGCAGGGATACATGTAACCAGTGGCAATAGTAGTGTGGAAATTATGGAGACCTGATACATGTTACCTAATCGAGGCCTTTTATGGAATACGTGAACGAAGATATACCCAATTTCATTTAAAACTTTCTTCACTAATTGTTTATTTTAATGATAGATTTAAAACAACTGTATTACAACAGTTAAAGTTATCATGTTTCATGTGTCCAGCTTATTTTGGCATTTAATACAGGAATTTCATAGGGAAGGAAACTGAAAATCATGCTGAACTCTCAACAAGATTTATAAATAAAATACTATTAATAATATATCACAAGTGAAAACTGTTAGTTTTCTGTTTTGTCATTTTTAGTGGAGTGAATCTGAAACCCTTTAAACATATACACAGAGAGAGAGAGAGGAGGGGGATGATGCTTGTGTTTGTGGTTATAACAATATTATATATATAGTGATTTTTTTCATAACACTCAGATGTAAATATTCATGAGTGGGAAGTGGGAATGAATTAATTATTTATTGTCAAACATTGTTTGAGTTTTGATAAGAAACTGGTGGCCTAGTCCTATATTGATGTATCAACAATTCTTCAATACATGACAAAATGTCAAGAACATCGAATTGACATGATATTGGCAATAGATAATACAAGTAAAAAGCTATATTCGGTAAATTCGAGAATTCTTCTAAGAATTGGACTGATCCATGTGTATAACATTTCTATACAGTGAGACTGCTGATGCAGTATTAAGTATGATTATTGTGCAGTGTCGATTACTTTTTCAATGAATGATAATGTATAATAATATAAAAGATATGTTCCGAAAGCAATGAAGAAGATGCAACATTTCAGTGAATAATTCAGTGATTTTTTTTTTCGTTTTAGGACACAGCTGAATAGTTCTCAAAAATTATGTTCATGATATTTTGTTCTATTTAATATAAAGCAAAGTATCTCTTTGGGGGAAACAATAGTCTACAATCAATAAAAAAAGATGAAGAAACAAGGAACAAAGACAAAAGAAAATCTATAGAAAAGAAATAAAAACCAGAGGCAAAGACAAAAGAAAATACAATAACTGTTGTTTTGATTTTTAAGTAGGTAAATCGTTCTTATTGTTGTTTGTTGTTATGAACAAATATTCAAAGCAGGAAACAAATTTTATTAATTTAGTGCTTGACTTAAGCGGGTTCTTTTGTCAAGATGGCATTTCGGATCTGATCTAAGTAAACAAGGTACGGTTCCTTTTGCAAAGGTTTTTAAACGGAGGTTATTTTAGCAAATACTGACCTCTACTGAGAAGACCTCTACTGAGGTTGTAATTTATCAAGGCAAATAATCGTAATCTGATATGCACTTCCTTGTACATCATAAAAAAATTTACAATGTAGTATATAATACAAAAACCTAAAGAAGGAATCATTCAGACAATTAAAGCACCATTATTGATACAAATAAGAAAGTGACTTTTTTTTCATCAGTTGTTCAAAACTTATTGAAACATTATCTTTTCATGTTAGTATTATATACTTAATCAAACATTTAAAAAAATATATAAAAACTGTACTCTGACTCTATGCTTCAAAAAATGTTTAATTTACTTTAATCTCTATCTTTAATAATCATAATATTTGAACTTTTTTTCTAGTATTTTCTAGATAAGAAGCTTAAAATTATGAACCGAAACAGCCATCTGAAAAGTCACAAAGAGACACTCAAACTAGGACCCTAAAATATCAAACTTAATTCACATAAAAGAATAATTATCTTTATCTTTTCGATGTCAGAAGTAAAAATTCGCTCTGCATGGTAAAAATATTCACAGGTTTGGAACAATCCATATCATCCCTCGAACAAGTAAGACACAGGCTTA